TTCTTCTGTCTGTTGTCTTCTATCTGAGACATTGACACCGCAGAAAACATGCAGGCTGAGCCACCACAGAACAAAGCCAGGACTTATTGTATTAAAGACCACCGACTCATCGCCGTCGACAGGCTCATCAGGAGAAGATGAAGATAATAAAAGAAGAAGAAGAGGTGGATGGTCGACCTACCTTTGGATTATCAGAGTGTCTCAAGCCGGCTCATGGCAAAGAAGTGCGAATTGAACAAGAAGAAGAGAGAAAACCGAACCAGAGGTATAAGAACAACAGAATAAACAGACGGACCAAAGACAGAATAACAATGATTAAGAATAACAACAGCAGGACAGACGAGAAAGAAAAAAGGGCGGCAGAGTCGAAGAGGTCGGGGATGGGGAGGAAGAAACCAAGAAGGGCGAAGAAGGAAAAAAAAGGACAGGGACAAGGGGCGGGCGCGAGTCTTATCTTGCTGGCCCGTAATATATATTAATACAAGCAACAAAAGACGAGACGAGACGAGACGATGATGATGAAGAAGAGGAAGAAGAGCAGACGAGGAGAAGACGAAGGACAGTCGACGTCCAGTGGCGATGGGCTTCTCTCTGCTCCCTCCCTGACAATATAATATCAGCGTCTCTTCGGTTTCAGCTCTCGACAAACAACACTCAGACTGTCAGTCGCCCTGCCCGTCCGTCTGTCGGTCTGTCTCTCGTTCTATCCTGTCTATCAGTCTGTCCGTCCGTCCGTCTGTCTGTTATGCTGTCAGCTTGCCAGGTTTACGGCCCAGAAGGCGAATACCAACTCCTTGCTTTTTCGTCCTATCAAAGTATTTCGACGCCATGAGGATTGCTGGACCTGATGCATCCATGTTATTGCTTTTTCCCAGACAATGGCATTGAAGAACCGCGATCTTCGTCAGAGACGGGCATGGGGCCCCAGTAATAGTCTGGCTGGCTTGTGCGACTGCCCTTGGGCTCTGCTGGCCTCGAGTTGTTGTCTCATAAGAGGCTGATATACGCTACGTGTCTCCAGTGATGAGATGGAGAGAAGACGAAGGAGAAGAAGGAGAGGAAGGAGAGGAAGAAGGAGAGGAAGAAGAAGAGAGAAGCTTCCGTGATAGTTTGGGTTGCCATGGATCTGTAGACGCCTGTAATACAGTCCATTATATACATAGTTCTTTGACTTTATGCACTGGTGAGGATCGCTTATAGAGGCATGCCTGTGAGTACTGTTGTATAAACAGATGGTTTACACTGGAAGAAGTTATTCGACATGGGGTTGGATTAGGGTATCGTCCATTGAGAGGATACTACAGATCAGCATCTTCCCAAGCTGGCATGTTAACTGGCTCGCAGCTGCAAGCTGCTACATCTCTCCCCGTTGTTGGCAGCTAGCCGATGATCCTGGACCTGTTGGGCCTCGTCAGAGGCTGTATCACGGGCATCCAGTGAAGGAGCAGTCGTCACTTGCTCCTATATGCCATCGTTAAGCAAGACGCTACTCTAATAGATGGAGCGCACCGCTGACCAGATGTAGGCTTCCCGTCACCAAGGCTTGCATGCCGCTCTCCTGGTCTCCCATTGCCCTAGCTCGATGCAAAGCTTCCTCGATCGTCCGTTCGCATGAAACTGTTGCAGTTGCATCAAAGCTTCTCCAGAACTCGGCATAGCTTTCTTGCACTGCTCGAGAGAAGCGGTTGGTCAAATTTCGGTCTGAACGATGCATTAGCCTTTGTAGCATATCATCTATCAACTAACTATTTGGGTAACTGGAATATATACCAATCCTAGTTCGACCGTCTCTCATTTCATCGTACGAAGTTAGAATAACGTGCTGTACTTGAATATCGTTGTCGAGTAAGGACCTTGCGATGCTACGCAGAAGAGCTATACCGTCTCGATTTGAAAAATGGCTAAAGATCAGAATCCGAGTGGGAATGCTGGTGATGCGAGTTAGCATGTAGTTGTAGCTCCCGTACGCTTTGGATTGAGAATATACCCACTCCTGGCTCTCTCGCGTTCTCTCTGCAAACCACTCAACTGCGTAGCAGAGGCTCGAGTCGGTGTGCGCTCCGTCAAGGAACCACCGATAGTTGCCATCGTTAATTTGCTGATATCGCCCTGGCCAGGAAAACTTCTCTATACCGTTGAGAATCACATCATCAATACTGCTTTGCTCAGGTAGCTTCACGGTCAGCCAAGCACGGAGCACCGCAAGAGCCAAAGAACAGTTTAGTTTCTGTACTCTAGGCCTCAGAGCCACCGCGTCAGCTGGAAGCTCGCTATTAAGGCTGATAAACCGTAGTGCTGCCCCCCTTTCAGCAGCTCGCTGGCGGAGGACGGCTTCGACCGCTGGCTCCTGAGCAGCGGAGAATGCCAGACTTCCCGACTTAAATATCCCCGCTTTGTGCCACGCAATATCTTCGATGGTTGGCCCAAGTAGGTGGCTGTGGTCCATTGAAATCGGCGTTATAGCAGTTGCAATCGGCGCGCTAATAATATTCGTTGCATCGAATTCCCCACCAAGATGGGTTTCATAGATCGCCGCATCAACCTTCTCTGTAACGAAGACATGGACAGACAGAAGTGCTAGAAGCTGGAGATACCGGGGAATATCTAGCAGGTCTGTTGCTTTGCCAGGCAGCTTCTCCCACACCTCGAAAAACCTGCTGGTGAAAATATCCTGGGATATCGGCTCGCCGTTGATGCGAATCCTCTCGCGTATGTTGTCTATGTGCGGCGATGTGTATAGGCCGACTTTTCGCGGGAACCCGGTCTTGTCTCCATGAGCCTTGAGGAACGATGCGACGAATGCACAGGTGCTCCCTTTCCCCTTTGTCCCTGCAACATGGATGATATTTAAGCCGTTCAGGTCTTCGACCTATCTTTTCCGCTGAGCACAGTTAGCATAATAGTGTATGCATGCACCATACCGTGTGCCCGAGTAGCTGTAGCCATTCAACCATATCGTCTGACCCTCGCATATCATCCAGCTTCGGCTTCGCGCGTGCCCGTCGACTATTTAAGCAGCGTACGGCTTCCTGTGTTTCCCTTAGCACACACATATTGTACTTTCTAACGGCCCTCTTACCTCATATCTCTCCATTTCGCCGGCCTTTGGCAATGACTTGACGTATTCAAAGTGGCGTATGTGGGGGGGAAGATTGACATAGTCAGGCTTTATATCGTGCATAAAGGAGGATCTAACATCTGTATTTCGTCAGCATGAAGTAGATAAAGTAATCCTCCTGTAAGCATATGAAGACTCTCGGCTATCTCTTCTTGTTCACTGTCATGGTTAGAAGCTTGTTTAATCATTGGAACTTTATTAGCCGCCGGCAAAAGTAGGTTAGTTGCAAGCGTCAGGGTTCACCCGAGTTGGATAAGATTTTGTTGGTATTGGGGTTGGTATCTATGTATCTACATGGTAAGAGTTCAGCCCCCCGATCAAGGCGACATTCGCCGGCGCCTTCACGTCAACGACGTTGAAGCATCCAAAGGCGATGACCTTGCTCACGGCTGGACACGCCCGGAACAGCCCGCCCATGATAAAGTCGTCTACCCTGGTTAGGAAGGACAAGTCAACTTCCTTGAGACGGGCGTACTTCTTGTCCCCGCCAAACACCTCCTCCAGCGCCTTGTAGTTGACCTCCCGACAAGAACAAACGTTCAGTCTCTCTATCTTTTCGCCAGAGTGAGCCATCAGGGCCCTGAAACCGTTTGAGGCCAGGCCGGTGGGCGAGTCTTCCGGGATTGCGGGCCGAGAATGGTCTACGAGGCGGTTGCTGGACAGGTCGACGTAAGCAAGGGGAGGGTTGGACCAGTCTGAGAACAGACTTGCAAACGAGCTGTCGGTGCAGTTCTCATTATGGGATATGCGTAGCTTGTTTAAGTGCTTGGCCTGGTCGTGGAGGATGGCCAGGCTGGAGCCGTCCAGGGGCTTGACGTGTTCGAACGAGAGGGTACGGAGGTTGTCACACCGGGACTTGAGCAGGGAGTTGATGCACTCCAGGTCCTCGTCGAAGGTTTTCGTGCTGTCGTGGTGTCGCATGTTTAGTGAGAGGTGTTCGAGCTTCTCCAGCCGTGCTATCGAGCGGAGACAGGCGTAGGTCAGTTTCCAGCAGTCCGTCAGCTTCAGGCGTCGTAGGTTCGGGCAGTGTGACACTATCACTTCGACCGTTTCGTCGTCGAGCGCGCAGTCGAGGTTCGACAGCTTCAGCGTCTCCAGTCGAGAGCCGCGCGCCTTGAAAAACCGTCGCCAGCAGTCCTCTGTCACCAGGTTGCTCGCGTCCAGGGTTAGATGCTTGATCTGGCTCTCTCGTCCCGTCACGTATTCTAGTACGGGGTCCTTGAGCTGTCCCGCACAGCGGAGGTTGACTCGTTCCAGAAACGGCATCATGGCAAAAACCTTGTGGAAGTCTTCTTCCTCGAGTTCTAAATAGGAGGTTAGCCTACTTCCTCTCGCAATATCAGCAGAATAATTACGTACTGGCAGCGTCAAAGATATCAATGGTGTTGACATCGCTGCGTAAGAATAGCCTAAGGGTCCTCGGCGTAAGCACGCGTCTCTTGCTCAGTATTTGGCTGAGTCGAAGTAGCAGCTCTGCAGGCAAGTCCCCAAACTCCTCCACATCGTTGATGTTGTTCGCCACTTGCTATATCACCGTTAGCATGTTCATATTATTACTTTTATCCATCCAACCCCATCAAGTACCCACCTTGATACACATCTCCATCAGACTGAATGCCCCCCGCTGCGCGATCCCATCCAGCAGATTACTATAATTCTGCCTCTTCGTCTTCTTCCCTTGTCTTTTTGGTTTCGGTTTAGCCTTCTTCTCATCGGCAGCCATCTGCTTCCCACACGGCGTGCATAGCAGGCCACCATCGGGCCCTGTTTTACTATAAGCCGTCACGGTGAACCGCTTATCACATAGCTCACAATTGGCCAATTGACCAGGAACAGGCAGACGCGCCTGATTAAACGCGTCTTCGTAGGCATCATCATCAGAGACGTTTGCTCCCTTCATTTTCGCTTTTGCCTTCGCTTTTGCTTTGGCTGCTGCTGTTGCTGCTGCTGCTGAGCGTTTACGCTTTCTAGCGTTTGCCTGCTGTATCTCTTCTTCTATTTCTTCATCGTCTTCTTCTCCAGCTTCTTCTTCTGCTGCCGCTGCCGCTTCAGCTGCCTCCCTTGCTGCCCGGTCTTGCTCTGCCTGGACAGCTTCGTTCTGACGCTGGGCCTGACTGACTCGCTGGCTGTGGGTTTCGCGAATATCAGCCGCCGAGATGTTGTGTGCCTAGTTATGTTAGCACATTGATATTAATGCGTGATAGTAATGACATACAGCAAGGAAATCGGTCAGAGCAGACCGACTGTATCATGGTCAGCTCTATCGTCTTCATATCTATATCCCTCTGCATCTTGTCAACTTACGGCCCTGTGATGCGTCTCCTTGGGTTCGACCTGGCAGTTGTCAGCATTATGTTCAACTCTAGTCATAGCCATGTGTACTTACATGGTCTTTACACTCTAAACACTTGGGTATTTGCACAGGTCTGGTCGACCTCTTCTTGATCTCCTCCTTAATGTCTACTTGATGTCTTCTTCTTCCTTTTATGGCTAAAGTGCCTTTTCACTCTCACGTGACCACGTGCCGCGTTTTCCGTTTTCAACGCGTTGTTTCAGGCACGCTTTTAGATAAGGAAGAAAAAAAGGTTGATAGATGGAGAAAACGAGAGGGAAGATATAGAAGGAGAAGAAAGAAGAGGAGACATAAAAGAAGATATAAAAGAAGAGATAGAAGAGAAGAAGAGAAGAAGAGAAGAAGAAGTGGAGATGGCGAGAGATGGCAAAAGTAGGTACTTCTGCTCTGTGGTTGGTTACCATAACTAAATCTCTTCACAGTCAAACCGATGCCCCTGCGGCAGGCAGCAACTCGCCGCAGCACTCGAGTGGCCTCTCTGTCAGCCCAGCCAGCCCAAGAGGAGACAGATAGAGGCCAGCAGAAGAAGCAGACTATAGTCATGGTGGCCATCCCAGTGAAGAGGGACACCTCGTCAGCCTCGTCGTCTCGGACTGGAGACAGTGCTAGAGACAGCACGGCTACATACAGCACTCCTGCAACTACGGCCACTGCAACGCCCAGCAATGAATCAGAGTCAAGTAGCCATCGCCCTGGCAGAGTCAACGCTGCAGCTCGAGCCAGGGAGTTAAAAAATAGCTCTCTTGGCTTGAACGGGAGGAAGAGGGGTGCTCCGGCCAAAAGCAAGAAAGACACAGTTGACGATGATGCTAAGTTGGCTGCTGCACTACAGGCTGAAGAATATGAGGCCAGACCTACCGTCAAGAAGCAGAAGATGAACGATGGCGGTATAAGTGCAAACTTGGCCATACCAAGTTCGGAGGAAGAGGAGTGGTGGAGCACGAACGAGGACACTGCTACAGACACTGAGAGACCTGTCAAGAAGAATCCCTGGAACGTGCTTTCAGATTCTGAATTAAGGAAGTTAGATGAACTTTCTGATTCCTCTGGTTCGAGCGATTCGGACTTGACGGATATGGAATCAGAATCGGGATCCGAGCTAGACTTAGAACATTACATAAGAATGACCGTTCACTATAGAAGGGGAGGAGCAAGAGGACAGAAAGGACCACACTTGACCCGGGTATGAATTCTTCCTTCTCTATTACTATTGTGTACAGCATCTAACTTTCTTTACAGGCCCAGAAAGAACGCAAGAAACTCGAGGCTCAGCATCCCGAGATCATAGACATGTGGGAGAAACTCGAACAAAAGCTTGTCCTTGCACCTCCTCCTGCTGCTCAGCCAGAGGGGATAAATCGAAAGCTGAAGCCCTTCCAGCTCGAGGGGCTTAGCTGGATGCTGGCCCAGGAACAGTCGGAGTGGAAGGGCGGCTTGCTCGGTGATGAGATGGGCATGGGCAAGACGATTCAGGCTGTTTCTTTGCTAATGTCGGATTATCCTGTTGGGTTGCCTTCGTTGGTCGTCGTTCCTCCCGTTGCACTGATGCAATGGCAGGCTGAGATTGACGTATGTTTTCAGTCTCCCCAGATATTGACTAATGTTAAACCATGCTAACCATGACACTCTAGTCTTATACAGATGGCAAGCTGAAGGTGTTTGTCTACCATAATTCCAACTCCAAGGTTAAGGATATCAAGGCCAAGGAGCTCAAGTCCTACGATGTCATCATGGTGTCATGTATGTTCACCAGTCTTACCCCTTTATCAAGCTCATCGTGTCTCTGACTTCCACTATAGATTCCGGTCTAGAGTCAATGTACCGCAAAGAAATCAAGGGCTGGAAACGAGAGGGTGGGCTAGTCAAAGGCACCAGCATGCTTCATTCCCTTAACTTTCATAGGTTAATACTCGACGAAGCACATAACATCAAGCAACGCACCACCAGCGTAGCAAGGGCTTGTTTTGCTCTAAAGGCAAAATACAGATGGTGTCTATCTGGAACCCCCGTGCAGAACCGGATCGGTGAATTCTTCTCTCTCCTGCGGTTCCTCGAGGTGAAGCCATTTGCCTGTTATTTCTGCAAATCATGTAAGTGCGAGGCTCTGCACTGGACTCAGGATGCGCAGAAGCGGTGTAATATGTGCAAGCACAGGTATGGCTCTATACATATTCCCTACCACTGAGAGTTGCTAATATGCCTTCGCCTTTCAGTGGATTCAGCCATGTCTCGGTGTTTAACCAGGAGATTCTCAACCCGAGTAAGTCATGCTTGTATCATATACTAGATGTTGTAACTAACAAGCAGGGCAGTCACGGAGAATAGAAGCAACGACAGCAAGCGTAAAGACGCCTTGAACAAGCTACGTCTTCTCACTGACAGAATCATGCTTCGAAGAGTAAAAAGGGATCATACCTCGTCCATGGAGCTTCCACCAAAGCGGTATTTCATCCTCGTTATCCCCAAGGGTATACTCTACAGGTACTAACTCCAACCAGCATCGAAATCCACCGTGAATTCTTTGGAGAGATAGAACAAGACTTCTCACGCAGCATCATGACAAACACCACTCGCGAGTTCGACCGATACGTCAGTCGAGGTGTCATGCTGAACAACTATGCCAACATCTTTGGCCTTATCATGCAGATGCGTCAAGTCGCCAACCATCCCGACCTCATTCTCAAGAAACACGCTGAGGGCGGCCAGAACGTACTGGTCTGCTGCATCTGCGACGAGCCAGCCGAGGAACCGATCCGCTCCCGCTGCCGGCACGAGTTCTGTCGCCAGTGCGCAAACGAATACATGGCCTCGGTCCAGTATGGCTCTGAACCTGACTGCCCACGCTGCCATCTCCCGCTGTCCATCGACTTTGAACAACCGGACATCGAGCAAGACGAGAGCGACGTGAAGAAGAACTCGATCATCAACCGCATCAAGATGGAGAACTGGACCTCGTCTACCAAAATCGAGATGCTGGTGTACGATCTGTACCAGCTCCGTGACAAGAAAAGAACGAACAAGTCCATCGTCTTCTCGCAGTTTACCTCCATGCTGCAGTTGGTGGAATGGCGACTACACAGGGCGGGTATCAGCACCGTCATGCTGGACGGCAGCATGTCTCCTGTCCAACGACAGAGATCCATCGACCATTTTATGAACGATATCGACACAGAAGTGTTCCTTGTATCTCTCAAGGCCGGTGGTGTCGCTCTCAACCTCACCGAAGCCTCTAGAGTATTTATCGTTGATCCGTAAGTCTTTTCTTCCACTTCGACTCACCGATCCAACTCAACTTGCTGACTGTATGTAGATGGTGGAACCCGGCAGCAGAATGGCAATCCGCGGACCGATGCCATCGAATAGGCCAACGACGACCATGTGTGATCACCCGTCTTTGCATCGAAGACTCAGTCGAATCACGCATGGTGCTACTGCAGGAGAAGAAGGCGAACATGATTAACGGGACTATCAACAAGGGCCAGAGCGAGGCGCTAGAGAAGCTGACGCCAGAAGACATGCAGTTCCTCTTCCGTGGCAATTAGATTTGATATCTGTTCATATGTTATAAGAGTGGAGAGGCTCATCTTAATGTACGGGGTATTCATCTTCATCATCCAGGCACAAGCTTGACTTTCAGGAACAACCTTCTTCATCAACTCTGTGCCTTATAAAACCACTGAAGACAGTAACTATCACGCACCTATTAAAGGGATAAGCAAGTCTATTGGCGATCAGAGAGCCAACGCTGTACTATGTATGCCATGGACTCTCTGGTGGACGCAGATCTTGATAATAGAGCAGGGCGTATAAGACTCACGGCCCTTGGTACTCCCGTATAACTTAGTCTCTTTCTGCTATAGTTAGGGAATTCACCAACTTCAGACAACCGACTGAGCCACCAACGCTGACTCCGTCCTATCTATTTATACGGCCGGTGAACAAACTCCGTAAGAGAAAACTTCTTCCCTGGCTCCATATATAACAGTGCAACTAAATAGCCAGCAGGGCTTGTAACTGTAACCAGAGAAACACCGGCACCAGGTTCTGGTAGACCGCGATAACACTCGGAGCTGAAGCGAGCAGGGTCAGGGATACACGCACATATATGTAACTGCATATGCTGTGGCTGGTGGCCGACCAGGAAGACGGCAACATCTCCACTGCCTTTGCGATACGAATTCTAACTGGTGCAGAAGGCGAACAAGCATTTTGGGGGGGAAGCTGAAGCCTCGTTGCCAGACATCTTGGCCGTTTGGTGGGTTGATATCTTGGTTGCTATGCTCCATATATATTATATGGCATCCCCCTCTCCTATTTATTCCCTTCTTCCTCTTCTCCTTCATCATTCGCCTCTCTACTTGAATAGCAATTGACAACTTGCTCTAGGTTATACGGGGTTCATCTTCGGATCTGGTTATCGACATGAGCTCCAACGCAGTCACAAATGGGGATACTACCACTGCCGGACATGGGAACGAACATGTAGGTACAGCTGCAAAGTCACAGCAGAGGCCAGTTTCAGATTCTCACCTGCCTCCTCCGAACCATAAGGGGCCGGCAGGTGGCTACGATGTCACTCCCTTGCCCGCCGCGCCGCCAGGTTGGACGCTCAAGTTCACCTTCCACCGCGCAGAGAACCTGCCCATAGGGGACCTCAGCTCCATGTCCTCCGACCCTTACATCAAGGCTATCCTCGAGACCGACCTACCCACTCGACATCCAAAGCAGGATCCCATCTTTACCTTTCGCACTCCTACCATCAAGCGGGACATCAACCCGGAGTGGAACTGCGAGTGGATAGTCGCCAACGTCCCCTCGTCGGGGTTCCAGCTCAAATGCCGTATTTACGATGAAGATATAGCTGACAGCGATGACAGGCTGGGCAGCGCCTACGTCGATGTCAGGGAGGTCTCTGACACATGGCCAGGGATCAAGGAGCAAGGGTTCAAGATCAAGAAGCGCATGGGCAGCCATCGTGCTTACTTGCTCAGGTCAATTGCTTCGACATTCTCCAAGAATTTCGACAACGAGGGTCTGCTATTCATGAGCATTGAGTGTCTGGGTAGGACCCCTGGCCAGGAGGGAGCTCATATGTACACTGTCGGACCGAATTACTGGACCAAGCATTTCTCCCCGCTGATCGGCAGACTGGCAGGCACCAAAGACAAGATCAAGAGCAAGGATGGCAAGGCCCCGGTCGAGCGATACAAGTATGTATATCTAGTACATCTACGGAGTACAACCACTTATAGTATGTATATAGTGATGGAGTTATGGCTAACTGAAATAGTTTTCAAGCGGTACAGATACAGCTGTCCGGCCCAGTGCCGACGCCGCTGTATCACCGATACGTCGAGTTCCGCCCCTTTGTGGCTGGTATGTTCACAGCAAAGAGCCTCAGGGGCCGTCTGCTCAACCATGCCCTGCACCACCAGCACGAACGCATCTACACCTACGACCACAACACTGTGTACGGTCTCTTCCCCCAGCCATCCCTGGATCTCACCAAGCTCTTCCTCGAGTTCGTCCAGTACGGCCAGGATGGGCGCATCTTCACCTATGTCATCACCCTCGACGGCCAATGGCGCTTCACCGAGACAGGCAAGGAGTTCGGCATTGATCTGCTCAGCAAGCATACCATGCACAGCAATGTGTCCATCTACATCGCCTACTCTGGTGAATTCTTCGTCCGTCAAGTCTCAGATGACCAGTCACCTACTGCCCATCACCACCACCACCACCATCACCATGCTGAACAAGATGGAGAAGAATCAGACTCCAAACGCCAGCCGCCCACCGATCCAGCCCATTACGAACTAATAATCGACAATGATAGCGGCACTTACCGACCAAATGGCAAACTACTACCTCTCCTAAAGGAGTTTTTGACCCCCAACCTTCCCGGGCTAAAGATATCCACTCTCGATTCCCAGCGTGATGCAACCCATATGGCTAAACTCAAGGGCAAGCAGCGCGAGATGAAGAATAAATCAGGCCATAAAATGATGTATATGCAGAAGAGCTCCTCTTCCCTTTCGCTCTCCTCCATTTCAAGCTCTGATGAGGAAGAGTTGAATGAAAGAGAAAACGGGGTGGAGACTAATGGTAGGCCGTCCAAGGGTAAAGGGTTCATGGGCGGTCTTAAGAATCCTAAGTGGAGGTATAAACGTTGGTTGGAGACGGATCATTACGAAGATGCTGCTGGTAAAAATATCAACGAGAGGCCATCAACCGCTCATAATTGATATTTGCCCTACAAGGGTCCAGCTTTAGGGTTTATTTTCGATATATTTTCTTTCGGACTTGTGCTTCTTGATATACCCCATTGGAGAAGCTGGATTGATTCAATCTTGAGAATTAAGTATGAATCACGTTGTTATGATAATGACTAGGTAGCTAGAAAGTATAGAAATCTCTTAATTGAAATGATTAGGGTATATATTTGTACAATGTGGGTATATATATATAATAGTCTAAAAGGGCATCCTCTCACCCCCTGAGAGGCAGTATCTTCGACGCAAGCGCCTCTTGTCTGCACAATGGACACTCCGGCTTCTCCTGCACCCAATCTCGTATACACGCCCAGCAAAAGACATGGCCGCACGTCGACACACTCGGGTCCTTGAATGGATCCAGGCACAGCGTACACTTTCGCTGCGGTCCAGTGGGTATCCACGACATGGCCAAAGCATCCTGCTCCAGGGACATATCGTACTGTGCTTCCTCCGGTGTCAATAGCGCCATACCATCCGGCATACGAATACTCTTCAGCCCTCCTCCGCCCTTCGCCGCTGCACCCTCCGTAGATACCTGTGCCGAAACCCCCCTCTCCTCCTCCAACTGTATCGACTCAATAACCTCCTTTGCATGCACAACCGCCTGTACTACAATCTGCAACACTAGCAGCACCCCAAGAACCTCATATCCAATCCTCTCCTCACTGTCGCCGATTCGTTTGGTAAAAACATACCGTAGCCCCCACACCCGTTTAGACAAATGATAATATGCTCCTGAGAAATAAAACGCCGCCAAATTCACTGCAAAAAAAGGTGAAAGCGACGTAAGCGAATTGAGATGCTCAAGAATATACCGCTGAAACCGCAGCCAGAAGTCAGCTTGTTTCTCTTTCTTCCCGCTTATGTCTAGCCTCGCTTGTTTCCTGGCAATGCTGCGTTCCAGCTTTGCGCGTAGCTTGCGTCGTAGAGCAGGCAGTAGACGCTGCAGTATCGACGGAACCAGTATCGAACTGACGATATATCCTGCTCGTCGGCCTATGGCGGGAAGCTGTAGCGTATCGTCTTCGAGTTGAACGACATCGCAGTATTCTTCGCCTAGTGTCCTGTTGCCGATGAGCGTTGTGAGGGAGAGGTATAGTATTTCAATGGCATTTTTGATAGCGTCGCTATGTGTATGGGCATATCTCTGTCCTCGGAGGGTGCGGATGATGGATTGAGCTTGTGTCGAGAGCGTGCTGGTGATGTAGTTGTCTTTCTCATGCGCGCGGATGATATCTGGTGATGTCGCCCAGGGGAAGAAATAGGATGGTTTCGTGGTCTTGCTGAGTGCTGCATCTGCCATGGATGAGTCGAACAGGCTATCCGATGACATCTTGTTGTCTGATGTCTTCTTCTCTGGTATTCTTCTCTTTTTGTCTTCTACTTCTTGTCTTTCTTATATCAAAACTTACCTCGGCCCTTTTGATAAGCTACTCACGTGACTCTCAGTTTTCATTTGCGGCTCAAAAAGAAAAAATACGAAAGCTGAAAAGAAAAACGACGAAGACGGCGCGACAGTTTACGTCGTTTACTTCTCATCTGTTGTTTTAGTTTGTTTTTTCCCTCTTTCTTACCGTGCCATTCTATTAGCGTGGCCGCGGAGTTTTCGATGGAATATGGGGCCTGGTACTCTTGAGCCTCCTAGGCTAGACGGGTTCAGTCTTGTCTTACCTCTGCCTTATCGCGTTGCTGTTATACTAGTTGCTGGTAAGTCGAGTGGAATAGCAGAAAGAATCCCAATATACAAACGTCTAACAATCTTTAGGCGTATGGGGATGGGGGTTAAATGTTCAGTATCTCACTGCTGTCAAAATTGTACGTGTCGAAACGGTTATAAAACATCAAGCCCGTACGAACCCGGTCTAATTCAACCTAGGATGTCCCAGCATTGATCCGGTATCCCTCTCGACCTGATACAGCCGGCACAGTCACCGTACACAAGTCCACTTACCACCTTGCAACCCTCCTGTCCATCCCGCTAGCCATCTCCCTTATCGCCTTCTGGATCATAACACATGGTGATCCTGCTCGAGTTGTCGCCTGGGAGGCTCTGCCACAATCCTATCTCTTCCTCTTCGTCGTACTACTTGCTCTTCCGCTGCACCGTCTCTCGCGTGGTGGAAGATACCGGTTCTTAATAACGCTTAAACGTATCAGTTTAGGTGGGCTCGCCGACGCGCGGGATGGCAAATTTGGCGATATCATACTCGCTGATGTGCTTACTAGCTATTCTAAAGTTCTGGGAGATCTGTTCGTGAGCTCGTGCATGTTTATTTCGCACGATGTGTCCAGTACTGGCATACCTGACAGAGCGTGCGGCGGTCACATAGCTGTGCCATTGCTCATTGCTGTTCCAAGCATAATCCGACTACGACAATGTTTGATCGAGTTCTCCCGAGTTTACAAGCGTGGAAATCGTCATATCGATGGCTGGGGTGGTCAGCATCTTGCTAATGCGGCTAAATATGCTACAACCCTGCCTGTGATCGTGTTGATCATGCTGCAGCGTAATTATGATCCCTCTATTATAGGCGTCAGTGAGGAGACATTGCATAAGTTATGGTATGCTCGTCTTCCCTTTAACTCCCCCCAGATAAGCTGCTAACTATAAACAGGATAATATCTGCCTTTATCAATTCATCATACTGCTTTTACTGGGACGTAGACAAGGATTGGGACCTTTCCCTCTTCTCCGACATTGTCAACCGATTCCGTCCTTCTTCTACTCTGCCGGATGAAAACCCGCATCCCTTTGGTCTCCGTACAAACCGATTCTTCCATGCCAACGGCATTTACTACGCTGCCATTGTGATCGACCTAATACTCCGATTTACATGGCTTAGCCGGTTAACCACCCGACTGAACTGGGTTAACGATCTGGAGAGCGGCGTTTTTGCCCTTATGTTTTTAGAGGTTATTAGACGATGGTTATGGATATTCCTTAGAGTTGAGACCGAATGGGGTAAGTTCTTTATTCTCGTTTTTAGTGATGTAAACCCTCTAACTAACGTTATATAGTACGAAATACGCGTGGTCCAGCCCCCGACGATATTCTACTTGGAGAATTTACGAAGATAGACGAGGACTAAACGATATCCTGGTATCTTTCACTGTACATATATATTGGCGGTTGGAGTTTTTCTCTCCATTACCCCTTAATATTCTTTTTCCTTGTATTGTCCATGTATGAATTCTTTTTCGTTTGGTTTTAGTTTATAGAATTGAGTGTGTGGGTTGCCATGAGTATATATGGTGGGGTAAGATGCAAAATGAGCATGTTTTGGCCATGTCATCATCATGTGGTTTGTTGGATATATTTCCGCTACCACATCCAATGGTAATGGTAGGTTATTTAAGTGGCCTCACTTATGTCCGTTTTTGCCAAACCTGCACATATCTGTCGAATCCATTCAAGCTAAACAAGTTCTATCGGTAACACTAGAGACCGTCACACTTTCATCCAACAGATTATCTGTCCGCTTCCGTGTTTCACGCTTGGATAACTCTCCGGCGGTATTCCCAAGAAAAAAAAATCATCATTTAGGAGATACAAATTTAGGGTATATAGTTACAACACGACAAAGTGCCTTCCAACATGGGGGACGGGGATCACCACCTACCCCTGGCCATGCATGAGGCTCCACAAGCTTAAACCTGGAATTAGATGACGGTTAATCAACAGATAGTAAAGAGCTTAGGACAATAATATTAACTGACTTCTATTTCTTGATAATGAATCGTTGTAAGTTATCGCATCATTAATAGAGAAACCTATTAATATTGAATAAATACTGAATATCTATCGAAGTTTTGACTCGAATTGCCTTTTAAAGGCAAACTTTAAAATAGCCGCACGTTTCACGGGAAGAGCTCGGGCCGCGCTACGGTACCACGAAATTCTATTTCCTCTCCATCTCAATAATTCATACATAGTACTCCGTGGTTCTCTTGGAAATACATAGTTTTCTTATCAGATACCCATGGAGTAGAGTTACTCAGGAAGTATAGGAGTCAGACCTAATGAAAATGACGTCCACGTCATTCATGGCCTCCTCAAGTGATACCTGGAACTGGAGGGTGGAGGCGGTGTCTCCCCACTTGTGCGTCATGGCCTATAGCCAACTTCGGCGATAAAGGGCTCCCTCCCAGTGTTTATATATTTGTAACACTGAGGCCACGTTGATTCCTCTCTTGTCTTATAGACAAGACAAAATTGTTTCAATAACATCAACCAGCGAACTGCATAAGATTCTTATTTCATTTCATTGCTGCTTTGTCTTGTGCTTCCCTTACTCACGGCTCAAATGGCAAAGAGCATCATGTCGATACGCTGGATTCGCAGACGGCCTTACTTCATAATTTCTTTATTACTCACTTCTGTTCTTTATCTCTACTGCTGCGACTTCAATCCCGAAATACCTTCGGAGACTTCATGGCCGCTATACCAGCCTGAATATACATATTATGATGGCGGTCAGGATGCAGGAGAAACACTGTTATCTGTCTTCTCATCAGATGAAAAAGAATAAGAACACTGTCGAAATGGTTATAGCTAGCAAGAAACATGACAATGTCACCTGGCTTCATGCCCATCTTCCAAATTGGAAGAAGAACATTTACGTTGCGGACGATAGCGATGCGGAATTAACGATCCCTAAAAACAAAGGAAAAGAAGCTATGGTATTTCTAACGTGGGTCATTTCTACTTCCCGGAGCTTACTGAATATTCTAATCATATCTCTAGATACATAATTGATCACTACTATTCCCTCCCCGAGAATATAGTCTTTCATCAAGCTCAACGGTTCCAATGGCATAACGATGATCCTGATTACGATGCACTCACTCTTCTACAACGATTACGTTTTGGGTACCTGGAGGAACAAGGCTACGCTAATCTGCGCTGTGATTGGTCATTGGGCTGTCCTTCATCGATTAGGCCGTTTGTTGATGCCATAGTGTTAATGCCCGGGGATAGCATTTCATCGAAACATGTATACAAGAAATCTTTTGAACAGCTCTTTCCGCACCAGACTGTCCCGGAGACTGTTGCTGTTGCCTGCTGCTCCCAGTTTGCTGTTCGGAGGGAAATAATACGGAGACGTTCGAGGGCAGAGTATATCCGTTATCGCAAATGGTTGCTCGATACCGACCTTGACGATGAATTAAGTGGGCGGGTGTTTGAATATGCATGGCATAGTAAGTCCTAATGGGTCATTTAGTTAAGAGACTAGAACAGACAGCTGACATGCAATAGTTATATTTGGTAAGAAGCCCATACACTGTCCGAACGCTGGCACTTGTTATTGTAAAATGTACGGGTTATGCGATAAGCAGTGTACCGAAAAGCGTTGCGATGGCCTTTATACTCTCCCAAAGTACGCGAGCCTCCCCAATGGGTGGCCGAGGGTAGGCTGGAACCAAGAGCGTAGGCCATGGCTGGGGGAAGATTAGTGAATTTGGTTGGCCATATTTCTTCAGAGACTGTCTTTGGTTGAGCATAGGCGAACAGGAGTTTAAAATAATACAGTGATTCATTTACCCGGATGTTAGTGTGTTAACCAATAATAATAATAACTAAGAACTACGCATCACATTCATATTATAATGTAGTTGGGCATCACAACCTTCTACTTCAGGCATATGCAATTCAAGCGATTTATCATCATGTATATGAGAAGAGTTCGACTTTGATATCTTCCACCATAAGATATTTGTTTAATACCCACTACTTATATTGAATTGACTAATTTTATATGTAAGTACGTTCATTAATATATAAACATCCATACAGTGTGGCCATCGTATTGATTGAGCAACCCTGGTGTTGACGTCTAGACGGACAAAACATACATATGTTGAAGCAATGAGCATAAGGCAAATATACCCTTTTGAAGTAGATGCTGGTAAAATTATATTACTGGACTGAGTTGAAGAACTTGGACATATTGTTTGCAAATAACATGCAAGGTGCAGGCTCAAGTAAGGGGCAGAAAGATAATGAAAAGAGGAACTATTTAAGATATGGAAATGAACAGACATTAGAACCTTCAGTTTCCTAGACGACGCCATGGATGATGGGACAGGGAATAGTAAACTAACCAAAGAAACATAACGCATAGCAAAAAGTGAAAGATCCGGCAACTCCTGTTAGACCCATTTAAATGTCCAAATTGCTCAGCTCAACCGTGTCCGGGAGGCGAGATGAGTCGAGGGAATGGGGTAAGAAGGGAAAAAGGGGAAATAGGGAGTAAAATAGGGGCCTCCAAGATAATCAAACAATTGATAAGATGTAAGTTTCTACATAAACAAGTAAATCGGGATATCTGGGCAAACATAAAGAGAATATTAGGACATTATATATACGTGTGAGGGCTACCGCTGGGGACCAGAGGGGTGGTTTTCAAATAAGTCCTCGAGATAGGCGCTTGGTGCGCGACCTTGTGGAGGCGATGTGAGGTTCAAACTACTCGTAGATGGATGTGCTTGTTCGTATCTACGCATAGTGGGTGACAAAGCAGGGGAATCAGGAGGCGTTGGTCCCGTTGACCTTGTTCGCGAATAACCTTGTGCCTGTGGGCCAAGCGGAGAGAGACCGATTGAGGACGTGCTGTGCTGAAGTCCCGCTCCTGTGCCGGGTGATGCCCCACTGGCAGCGTAGTAGCCCGCTGGTAGGTATCCCGAACCTCTGTTCCCAGCGGCGTGCAGGTTGCTTGCCCCTGCAGTCGGGGAAAAGAAGAGGCTGGATGTTGGCGGTTGGCTCGCGCGGTGGAGAGCAGAGTGTCGATTGCCGGGTGTGTTGCCGCTGTTGAGTTTTTCAAGAGACATGGAGGCTCCAGCAGATTGGCGATAAGCCTTGCTCTTGCGTTTAGCTGGGTTGAGGAGAGTGGCAGCAGCGGCATCTGTTTGGAGAGGGGTGGTAGCTGCGCGACGGACGGAGCGGTTGATTGACCATGCGACTAGTGCACGCCAGGCAAAGACGGCAACAAATATAAGCCCCAGACCGGCTCCTACACCGATGAATACGGTGCCTTCAGGGACATTGGAGTGCTGCAGGTATGGGGCACCCTTCTTAGGCGGGATTGCTGCAGTGGGGATTTGGGGTATACCAGTGAGCGAAGGCAGCGTAAAAGATGGCTGGTCGTCGGTGTTGTCGGGAAGGGATATGGAGGTGGCGGATGAAGAAGACTTTGTAGTTGATGGCTTGTCCTCCGTGGTCGTAGTACCGAGTGGGGGTAAGTCTATAGTCTCTGTAGGTTTTTTGTTGTCGTCCGTGTTCGTAGCGGGAGGCTGTGCAGTAGGGCTTGGTGCATCGCCTGTGTTGTTCGGATTATCACCTTCTTTTGGTTTACTTTCTGTTGGTGCAGGGGCTGGGTTTGATGCCGGCGTGTTTGGACGAGCATTGTCGGTCTTTGCTGGAGGGGGCGGCTGGTTGTTTGGATTATTTCCTGGATTGTTACCCGGCGCTGGGTCCTTTCTGTCGTCTTGTGCTAACGTCTGCCCCGTAAAGAGGGCAAGACATATAAAGAGCAAGCATAGGAAAAGTATCGAGCGCGGAACTTTGCCCCCTGAGAGCCTCATGCCGGGCCCGTGGTAGGTTGTAATATCGGCAGATTAAGATCAAAAAGCACCAAAACCCAGGCCAACGAAAGTCGGTATTCGTTCTCCGTGAGTGTCGAAATGTACCACCGTCGTAAAATGAGAGAAAACAGAGGCTATGATATCCTGTTTAGCGGTTTGTTGCCATGCTGATTGAAGGCTTTACTTACTCACGCTATTAAGGGGTGGTTAGAAACGACGAGCCGGCTGAGAGGCCATGTCAAAGAGTGATTTAAAAGCGAGACGGCAACTAAGCGATAGCAAAGCGCCCCAAAAACGAAGGACGAGACGCTGGATAGTGTGTTATGATTGTTGCTGGCGAGTTGTTCTTCGAGATGTTTTTCCTTGTTGTCTTCCAAGTTTGATTTGATTTGATGTTTCCAGAGACAACAAGCCAGAAAGGGGAAAGCGCCGCCAAGACGGTTTATTTATATAAAAAAAGAACAAAGACGAAATTCGTGAAGAAAAAGTACATATTAAGTAGTGAAATAATATATAGATGGACAAGACGTGCCGCAAAAAAGCATACCGATGGAGATACAGAGACGACAGATACAACGAAATAACCCCAAAGAAAACGAACCAGCCCCGAGCTCTAGCGTACTACGACTTATTGCTGCTTTTTGCCCGCAGCTCCAGCAGGGCCGTTCTCCTTATCAAAAGACGCATACGAGACCTGTAAACTGGTCAGAGCAGAGAGACCAACGTAGAGTATGGTGCCTAGGATGGCAGTGGTGATCAAGCCCATGAAAAGACCTAGTCATGTTTAGTCGGGGAAAGTACCAAGGGGCCAATCAAGATCAGGCGCTTACCAGGGCTTAGGAACTGGTACTCGGAGAATAAAGAACTTTTGTTCCTCTTCTTTGGTTTATCATCACGCGAGGGGTGGCTCTGGAACTCCCTTTTGAAGGTAAGGGGGTCCTGAAGTGGGTTGGCGCCCATCTCGAAGTGGCCAATGTCCACTTCAGCAATTGGCTCTGTCCCTCGTGGAGTAGTGGTGTAGAGGACGGTATAGTTGGATGATGGGAGGAGGTCAATCAGCGTTGCAAGGAAGCCATCTATACTCAAACTGTCAGGGGACGGCTCATAAATGCCGTAGGGAACAGCGATACATATACGGACCATCTCAACCAGCT